CACTAAGCACAAATATGCAAGTGATTATCCGGAAGTTGGGAGCTTTATGACTAAGTTTTTTTTTTTTTTTAATGAATTATTCAGTTCAAACTGATAGTTACAACATAGTTAAAATAAAAATGACTGGATGTGACCCAAACATGTCATGTGAAGACATAAAGATTTAAGATCCACGGTAACAACAGCAGAGCAATTTAGTGGGAACAGAAAGTGGCTCGATTGTGCAATAGTTAGCTGAGTTATAGGTAGGTGTGAGAAGAAAATGTCAGGCCTAAGGAATGGGCAGTATGGATGGAGTGGACAGAGCAGACCCTTGGCGTATAGCATCTTCGTGTTCATTACCACCTGTGGGAGGAAATGGAAGGCTCTCTACCCTTAGAATGGGGAGAGTGAAAAGCTGAAATGAGTGACTTTCTCAGAGTCAAAAATTGTAGGTGGTTGAGCTAGCATGAAGATTCTCATTGTCAAGGGCCCTGCACTTTTTATTCCACCATGTACCCATTTGGGGTCAGGCAACCTTTAGCCAGTAAGCCAGTGGTTCTCAACCTGTGGGTTGTGACCCCCATGAGGGAGCAAATGATCCTTTCACGGAGGTCACCTAAGACCTATGGAAAACACAGATATTTACCTTGCAATTCATAACAGTAACAGAATTACAGTCATGAAGTAGCAAATAATTTTATGGCTGGGGGGGTCACCCCAACATGAAGAAGTGTGTTAAAGGGTCACAGCATTAGGAAGCTGACGCCCACTGCAAGCCTTGTGTGGCCCAGTCTTCTTGCCCAGCATCTCACCAAATCTTCCAGACAGCTTTTACAGAAAGTGTCTGAAGAGGCTTTCTGAGCTACTGTAAGTGAGGAATACATGGAAAGGGGATGGAATGACTTGGGAATATCCAGTAACGAGAGGGTTAAATTCCTGGATCCCACTGTGGATGGACTATATTGTATAAAGTTCCATCGACACGGGCCCAGCCTCTCTCTCTCTCTCTCTCTCTCTCTCTCAGAGGTGATTACAGAAGTGCTGGCGAATTCTTTCCACCAGTGGTTCCTGCATACAGCACGCACTTATGTTGTGGGACTCTTTTGTTGTTGTTCAGAATTCACCTTAGGGGTTTTCTCAAGCGCTGTCTTCTTGCTCTCTGGTGGTTTTTAGCTTTCTTTTTTCTTTCCAGGCTGGGTGGATGATGCAGTTTCACTTCTAGGTGTTAGGGTTCTCTTCCACGCTGGCTTGGCCTGACCTTCAAGGGTTTCAGGTAGCCTACTTGCTATTTTCTCAAGTCATACCTCCAGTAATTTTACACATGAGTTCAGAGAACCAGCATTAAGGGAGTTCATCTTATGGTCTGAGCTGTGGTGTGTACAAGCCAGCGTTGTCCTTTTAAATTCTCCACGTTGTTAGGTTTGGGGATGTGGAGCTGAAAAGCTGGTTATGTTCCTGAATTGGCTGTGGGATGCTACACATGGCTTCCATTGCTAAGGGTGGAAAAGTGTTTGTTATGATCGTAATTGTCTTAATTATAATTGCCGTCATAGCTCTCTCCCCTCAGGTAATTGAGCTCCGATAGTCATGCTTAGCTGAAGCCACCCACAAAAACCACACACATGGCGTTTTACTCAAAACTCAACTCTAACCACCACTTTGTGATGCAAAATCAGTGGAATTTTGGGTACTTTCTGTAAAATCGAAATCTTCGTGGGGGTTTTCCAACGTCCCGGTTGGTTAGCAAGTGATCAGCGGAGCGAACAAGACCTAAGTGGAGTGGCCTACACACTGACTTCTGGGCCAGGATGGGACAGCAGTGTATGTGAGTGCCGTCATCTGGAGGGAGCTGCTTTGATTGCATTGAGATTGGCTCTGCTTCTGAAAGATGTGGCAAGGCAAGGGGTATAGCCGTCTAGTGTGAAAGGCAGATATGTTGGTTTACCTGTTGCTTATCTTTGCCACAGGGTTTTCGGTCTTGACACAGTATCCACATTTAGTCCTTTCTAGCTTATACCCTCTTATGAAAGAGATTTGACAAGAAAGAAAGAAAGATCAATGGGCAGTGTTTCCCAGGCAGGAATAAGGGTGGGAAGGGGATGGCTGCTAAGACAGGCTAGCCCTGTTCTGGAAGGCAGGAAGCACCTGACTTGGGAGGAACTCGCTCTGTTTTGCAGAAGTCAGGAGATGTCTTTATTTTGGAGGCAAGTGCTCAGGAGTTTACTCTCCCTGTTGAGTCTCCAGGTCTCATTTTCTAAGTGTCATTCCTGCTGTGTGGTTTCGGAGATGGAGCATGTTGTCTTTCAAGTGAGACCCTGTCTCAACAACCAACCAACCAACCAACCAACCACCGCCCCCCATCCCCCCAACAAAACCAACCCTGGCTTTGGTTTGGTGGCAAATGTTTAAGCCCGTGAAGCCCCAACGGCTTTCTTGCACATGAGCACGGGACTGCCATACTTCATACTTAAGTCTGGCTATGTTCCTTATTCATCTGCGGAGGTCACTTTAAAGGTGACCTGGACCTTGATCCTTGAAATAGAGGTGCCACAAATGGTGGTGTGTGGAGAAGGCAGCAGAACCAGCGACCTAGCCAAGGCCCCAGGAGCTTTACCTGCAGATTCTGTTGTAGCTACAGGAGCTTCAGCGTTGACACCCACATTCCCAGGGTAGGACCTGCCGCATGTAAGGCAGAGTGACATTCTAGTTTCCATTATTTTCTGCTGAAGCTGGCAAGCTGAATGAAGATTTATATCTTTGGTGACAGGATTCAAATGAGACACGACAAACCTGTAAAAGCTGCCACCTAAACATGTCAATGCAGAACTTCCAGTGAACTGGATGGGACTTGGGGAGACACACCACACGCTGCCAGCCTTGGGTGTTGGGCAGCTCGAGAGATCAAAGGCAAAGCCCAAGGGAACGAACAAGTCCTTGCTGGCTGTGCAGTACTGGGAGACTGAGTACAGGGGCCATTTTGGTTTCAGACAAAAAGCACGCGTCTCTTGAAGGTTTACCGTATGATGGAAAAATTTAAACTGACTGGAAAATTGATTTAAGTTACCCAGTTTATATAGTAGAAGCTATGAAACTACCCATTAAATTGGAATTTAATCCTGACCCAATTCTCCGTGCTGGGTGGGAATTAGTCCTGTTTACCAAAGCACAGAGAAGATCGGCATCGAAAAGAGCAGCCAAAGTCAGCTTTGCTTCAGGAGGGGACAAGTTCTTCTACATTTGGATAGACGAATAAGGCAGCAAAGCAAACATCCTAAGTGGTCTATGATGGGACCCTGACCTGGGGGAGTGGGCCCAAACAAACGCCAACGGTTACTGATACTTCTACCTGGTAGAGGCCCAGTTAAAGATCCCCACGCTAAACAGAGCACCCTGGATCTTGTCACAGCATGCCAGGTGCCTGTGACAGCCTGGTGGCACTCAGCCACCTGGAAGAATGAATTCTCTATGTAGGACCCTCCAATATTTGTTCTGTTGGTTTCCCATTGAATATAAACCATTGTTTATTTTCTAAAATCAGGTCAGCATTTCCTGAATTAATCTGGTAACCAAACCAGTTGTAGTTCAACTCTGTCCTAATGGGAAGAAGAGTCTAACTCTGGAATCGCTCCTAAGTCACAGAGAAATGCCAAATGAGAGCCACCAGCCAGTCGCCATGTAGTATTCTGCATCATTTATTAAATATTTATGTATGCATTTACAAACTTGACTTGCTCCAGAACTCTGCTATCAGTTCAGTTTTTAAACTTGTGTGCAGAGACGGCCTAGTAAAACGAGACCCAGGTACAAACGAGGCAGCAGGTAGAAAACTTCTCCTGTCATACTGTGCACCCGTCCAGAAAAGAAAGCACGTGACCGACGAAGAAAGAAAACCCAAACGTGGCTCTTTCAGAAGGACAGCATTGTCAGTGTTCAACTATGCCCCCTAAGGGGGCAGCTAAGCATCCTAAGGGGGACAGCTCCTACTTTATATATTTGTAATAACCTCTTACCTAGTGTATCATGTTGGTTCAGATGAAGAAAGTCTAGAAACCATCAGCTAATTCATTTGACTATAATGTGACATCAAAATTCACCAGGGAAATGACACTTATTGGCCAGCAATATGCTGTTATTCCATCATCATGTAAAAAGTTCCCTTTAAAAAATTCATCGATTTCTTTGCAAGCTAAAGTATTAGCCTCTAACATGGCTCTCTTAAAGAAATACCTTAAATGATTAATTTTGAAGCTTAAATGTCTCCTTGAAACTAAAGTTGCTTTTCTTAAAATGGATGCTGTTTGAACAGTTCACAGACCTGGAGTTATCACTAGGAGACAGGGGCCCCAATGCCATTAGCAACGAGAAACAGCATAACCGTAGGATAATTACAAGGTACAAAGTTGCCCAGGGGCCAGAAACTCGCTATTAATATAATTTTGGCAGCAGCATCATTTGATATTTAACCATTTATTACATCAGTATTAACATATCAGCTTCAGAGACGCGCACTCCTTGCAGGACACCCAGGAGTTACAAAGTTATGGTGATTGCATAATTTGTATTGCACAGTTTTATAAAAAACATAAATACTGGCTATTCTAGCTTTAAATACAAAATACATGTCATATACTTTTAAATCTATAATCTGGTTCAAGTGCAAATCAGGTACTTTCTGGAGTCCTTCCAAAAAAGGCATCTTTAACATTTTTGGCCCCAGTGACAGGTCACCATGCCAACAGAGCTAATTACAATACGTTAAGTCCAAACCTCTGAGAGTAGCAATCATATACATACAATACAAAACTGAGTATTTACAAATGTACTAAGCACACATGTAACCTTAGTGGGTGAATGAGAACTAATGAGCCATACCCACGCCGATAATAATTTAGAAAGGGTGAGTACAGTCCCTCCGTCTCGTTGGCTTAGGCTGGCTGCTGTGGGTTGACATTCATGTGAGGAGGATGTCCTAGAAGGCCGATTCTTTGCTTCTGCTTCCTCTGCTCTGTCATCTGGAAAGTTACAAAGTTTCATCATTATACTCAGACACTTCCTGTACGTCAGGTCACACACCGAGCCATAGATTTATTTACCTCTGTGGTTATGGGTTATACTGAAACCCACTTTCTACAAATAGTGTACTCCGAGAGAGAAAGAGAGAAAGAAAGGGGGGGGGGGGCGCTTCAGAAAGGGCATCTTCCTCCACAGAGCGGGGAATTAATTCTGTGGCCCATCATGCAGGGTGACATTCATCAGAAGTTCTGCTTGTTACTTGTTTCATACAGAAACAAAAGAGAGAAGAGGCACAGGCTTCGGGATTATTTCTGAAAACCATTTCCAAGTGATGTACAGACTCATTGGAAAATGGTAGCTTGCTTTGATTAGGACACATCACTATATAGAAAAGCGGTGTTTTTAGAATTCCTGGGTCTGACACTTTGTGCCCACGCTCTTCAGGGGGTCTTGAGTTCCTCTCCTCAGTGATTTTGCAAAGGTCAGAAAAAAGTTACCTGGTTCTTCTAGGAAAGATGAGAGATCCTCAGATCCCCAAGATGCAGGGTAACTAACGCTATATAAGCTGTGATCTGGCTACCAGTGCTGTGAACAGGCACTGGATTTCGGATTTCAACAGGAGAGACCATTTTTCAGTGTGGGGTCCCGTGAAAAGATGCATTCACAGCCCAAAGTGAGAGATTGATTTTCTTCGGGCTGTGTGGCTGAGCTTCACTTTGGGCCTCCAGCTCTCTCCTGGGTATTTTAGGACCCAGTTCTCTGCCTTGAGAGTTTTCTTAGCATTGTAGGGACTACTTCTGGACTTGAGGCTCACAAGTTCACCAAGACAAAAGGCTGTATGAACACATACTAGATGAAATTATGTGCAAATAGCATAAGGCTTAGGGTAGAATAGTAAAAAATACAAACTTTGGAATCAGACAGCCATGTAACTTAATCTAAAATGTTATTTATCTCCTGCCAATTTGTTCATTAGTCCGTGTAATGAAGGTAATTCCTGTCTGGTGGGTAGACAGCTAAGGGCACATATGTAGATGTCTCAGTACAGAGTCACATACAGGATGCTTACGTTTCAGTTTTCACCTCATCTGATTTCCGGTGCATACCTAGTACACTTCCTTTAGTTCAAATTTAAAGTGGTTATATTTTTCTTTCTCAAAGCAGAGCACTTAACAGTTTAAGCCAAGATATTATTTTTTGGGGGGCTCCTATGGAAATACTTTATTATAATTTAGACGAAAAGATGAACAAAGATTTAGCACTTCCATGTGGCAGTTTTAAGTGAAAGTTTTTGTAAAGAGCGGAATGAAAATATTCTAGCCAGCCTCCAAAGTTTACATCCACAAGTTCATCTGAGGAAGGAGGCGTTTCACACAGCCCATGGAATACACTCATTGTTACGTTAACATGCTAGTTACCTGCTCATCTTACTGATGGAGAATTCAGTTACGGTAGCTCAGGTCTGTTCTCCTCAACTGCGCTCTAGACAGGCAGTCTTGTGAGGGAATACACTCGTAATCCTCATCATTTCAAGTATTTAAATGGATTTAGAAATCTTGGCATGCTCACCACCTATGAAAGGGGTACTTCCTAAAACATCCACAGGAAGCTGCTGACATCTTCCAGCTCAAAGCGGGCCCATACAACCTTCTCCTCAACGCTTTTGGTAACTGCTGGGACCAGAGAGAAACTCTACACACACCGGCCTCACCCCTGCTCAGTAAGTCAGTTACTCCATCTTTGTCTTCAACTCACAACTTGTAAAGCTTCCTGCCATTTAGCAAGTGACTGTTTGGCTTCACTGAGAGACATGAAACGGCTCCCTCCCTCTTGGTCCATGCTTCCTTTTGTTTCTTTCAAGCTGGCTGGTACATCATGTTCGCTCCCTCATAAACCATGAAGGTCCACAGTGTTGTAGGCTGGTGGCCAATTCTTAAACCCTTATCAGTTCAAGTACCTAATACATATGTGTCTGATTTTGATTGTTTCCATAGAGTGGTTTATAAATGGTTCAGCATCAAAACCACCCAGTAAAAACATAAAAATATAGACAAAGGGGACCACAAACAGTTTGGTATTATCAGGTCTGTTGTGGGGGGCTTGGGAATATGCTTTTCTAACAAGTTCCTGGATGTTGAAGATGTTGCTGGCCTGTTTTTGAAGAGATGGGCATGCACATTTTGAACATGTTTTCATATACTTCACTTCTTCCTTCTTCTTACACAAAGACAGGTCATAGAGAGGATTCTCTGCAACTACGTATACAATAGCACACCTTTCGACTGTGTGATCTGCATCAGCCTCAGCCTTTTAGACAGGAGGAAGCCGTCTAACCCAATGCCACTGGAAGAGTTGTCCATCACTTAGTAACAACTAGAAAGGAGGTAAGAAAAAACAAAACGAAAACCAAACAATCCCCAAAGAGCCATAAAACAGCTAAGGACTAAATCTGATTGGAAAGGAACCAAGGCCAACAGTATTGGCTACTTAGCTTTCCTACCATTCCTGCCTGTTTTCAAATCGCTTCTGTCTTTACTAGCTCCATTCACACTTTTCACATATACAACCTGTCTGCCTATCTTACCACAAGGCACCACTCACTATGTGTAACCATTGTTGTGTCAGCAAATATAAACATGACCAAAATCTATTCCAGTCTCACATAGTGTACTCACTGGATATCCAAAGCAAAATGGATATTTTGTACCCTCAAGTACCCGTATCATGGAAAATGTCCTAACTGTAGAACATTAAAAATTCTCAGTCTCCACTTAGCTGGACAGCTGACGCAATGCTGTGCTTCACAGCTATACAAATACAGAAATTACCTCGAATGTCTCTGTGCTGCCTTTTGGCTTTCGTCAACAGCTTTATAAATCAGATGGAAGCAACATCAAAAAGACCTTGCCTGAGAACACTAGACACAGCACGGATGATCATGAAGCGATTAAAAGTTGGCAGAGGGAGGAGGCTCACCAACTCTGCACTGATACCTTAGTCTGGCTCAAAACAGATCTTAACACTCCCTGAAAAGCCTCTAGTTACACACGGAGAAGCATTCTAGTTACCGAGGTTCCAAATAGCCAGTGAGGTCTAGTAAGCAGAATTCCTTCCTATGGTTCTATAGAGTCAGCCAGGCTCAAATGATGAGCCCCCAAACACTCAGAAGTTAAAACAAACAAAACCAAAACAAGAACAAAAAACCCCCCAAAAAACAAAACCTCCAAAACACAGTGTCTGCTGAATGCGATTATACTGCTTGTATATTATTGCTCAGCCCCTGAGAGGTGTGCCCCGTAACCTGTTAAGTCCTATCTCACTAGCAAACTTTCTCAAGCTCTGAAGACTGACTAGCCCTGGGGCAATGACTGAAATCTTTCCTCTAGGTCACTGTGAGGAAAGCCTTACTCCCCTTGTCCATTCCCACAGAAACCAGTTTAGAATTCTGCAACACACTGGGTTTTAGTGTAATTCACCTGTTTGTTGTCTCGGTGGGGAGACAGCTAGTTCTAGAAGGCGGACACTAGGTCCTTTTTGCCTCTGTATCCTGGGTATCTAGTGCTGTGCGTGGCCTCCATGGCTTCCGAGTGTTGGTTGAAATGAGGAGTCAGGTTCACCTGAATGTACTGCCATTCCTTGAGCATGCCATGCGTTGTCATGCGTTTGCCCATGCTGCGTCCCTTCTTGGAAGGCCGCTCCTGGAGTTCTCTGCCAGCCCAGATGCCACCTGCTTGGATGGTTACGGACGCTACACCCTTTTCTCACTGAAAGCTACCGCGGGGCCCGCTTCCTCTGTGTTCCACGGAACTTCATTCACGCCTTCTCTTTGCTTCCTGCTAAACCCAGGGTCCCAGAAGGCAGATGTCTTGGCTCTCTTTCACGAAAAAGGCAACATGCTAATATAATTTAGATGTTCAAGCACTTCTTACATTCCTAGCATGACAGAAAAGGGCCGCTGCCTTATAGGAAGCCAGTCACATTTTCAAGAAAATTAACCTTTTGCTTAGTATTTACTCTTTTGCATTATGAAGGAAACATGCAAAAAAAAATAATTATGAAGTTCTTACATTAGTCTTCCTCCTTGGAATAAGGATGTAAGAGAATCATATTTAGTATTCAGAATCTCTTGGGAGGGGAAGCTTGGAGACGAGATGCATCAGTAATACTTAGACTAGCAATTCAGTCAGACTGAACACCTGACACCACTAATCATGTTTTCACTACTATAGCCTCACAAGGACTTCTCCCCCAGTGGGTAGTTTAGAAAAACAACCAGCAAAGACCTGAGTCCATTATTAAAGTCCACGATTAAAACCTAAACTCATTCCTACTGAAATGGCTATCTCTCTGCGTCTGGTTTCTGGGTCAGACCATCTACAGAATAGCTAAGGGATGAGGCAATTTATGGATTTCCCAGTGAATGGCAGTCTTTCGTGGCTGTAGTAAAAAATGTCTAGGACAGTTTCTTGTTCTTGAATCATTTGTGGGGCTTTTAGGTTTTAATCCATTTTGTTGCCTTTTGTGGGCAGGAATTCTTGCAATGACCAGACCAAATCTGTAACATGCCACTTATGAGTTTTACACACAACAGCTTAAAAAAAATGTTTACAATGTCCTAACACCAAACCTAGTAGCATTTAAACTCTTCAGGTTGATTCTGAGATGATGCATTACAGGCTTGTTAGAAGTTAGATTAAGGAAGCAATTTCTACCTCCTTTTGAATGAAACAATCCCTTCCTGCCCCCAAAGCTACTATGGTCTATTTTTTTTTTTTTCCTCCCTGTATTTCAGCATCTCGAAACTTGAACAGTTTAATCCTGGTAAAAGAACTTCAAAATGTGCTATTGCGTTTCCATGCTTCTTTGTACCCTATAACACTTTCCTAGAAAAAAAAAATGGTTCAATTTCAGAATCACTCACAGGGGAAGGGCTTTCTAAAGAGTGGTTCCAACTGCCAACTTGAAAACTGAAAAATAACACAAGAAGGGCAGGGAATTGAACAGTTGAAACCACACAGGGTCTGAGGTGAGTTCTCGAATCTTAGTCTACGTTTAGTCAAATGTTAGTTCAACAGGACTAGCTCTACCCTGACCCAAGATTTCAAAAACTGAGTTCCTACTACGCTCAGCTGTGCAAGACAGTGAATGTATCCTCAGTACCATGGAATATTAAGGTTCTTCCTTAAAAAAGAAAAAGGAAAAAAAAAAGAAAGCAAGGGAAAGGAAATTTGAAAAGTCAATCACAAAAAGGCAAACTGAATACAAAACAGAGCAAACAAACTCAAAACAAAACTACTCAATCACACCAAAGCAGGCCAACACTGGAGATTAGGGCTTCACACCCTCATGCTGTGATGTACCGTGGGATAAATTTCCCAAGGGCCTTCTGTGCTCTTTTACATCCTCATCAAGAAAACCAGGAACTGGTACAATGACCCATGCTTTCCCGAGTCTCTCCCTACACCTGCCATTCTTGCTGTGTTTCCTCAGCCCAGCTCACACCTTGGACATGGTTCACTGGTTTGTAAAGTGGGGCTGGGCTTGAAGCAGCTTCTGAGTCACCCTTTGTGGTAACTGGAGAATGGCAGACTCAGTACTGCCTGGACAAGGATTCTCAACAGAGCCTGAAGGGAAGGGCTGACTTGATTTGACCACCACAGAATGCTCAGAAACACAACAGTTTTGTTTCAGACATATTTTAAGGAACTCCCCAGCAAACTGGAACCACCCAGGTGTTCACATTAACAGAGCAGGCCCCAACAGAACTTCCAAGGATGATAATGAGAAAGAGTTACGAGGAAATGAGATGAGAGGTAGGTGCCCTGCAGAGCTAGATGGCCTCAGCAGTACCAGTTCTGATACCCTGGGCATGAAGTCCAGAAGAACCTGAAAAATGGCCCAGGTGTCACGCTTAGCTCCTGCATTTCAGTGTCTTGGATCGGCATCTAAGATTTTTTTTTTGCACCTAATTTTGAACATCTGATTTGATGGAGCCCCTTGATGCCACAGCTATCCCAAGTGGAAGGAAAAAAGCTTGCTAGAGCTCTCAGGGGCTGGAGGGACAGAGGCAGCCACAGCCACTGAGGTAGTCATGAGTCAGCTCAGTCCTGTAAAACACCTGTTAGATGTCTCGCAGCAGGGTGAGCAGTTAGTTAATAAAAGCCAAGTGTTCTAGTTAAATCTTCATTAGTTCACTTATTTAGGTTTTTATTCATTTTAGGTGGTTGCCAAGCTCTGGGTTGTAGACAGCTCTCATCAATAAGGCCACCTCTTCTCATTGGTCTTTTAGTATCATCTGTATCTTAGTGCATTTGAAAGAAAAGAACTTGAGGCCAAATGGTATCTTCGGGGCAGATGGGCAAAATTCAACTGGCCAAGAATTATAATTGAAAGCAGAATTATTAAAAATGTTCTCAAAACTGTCGCCAAGAAATGTTTATTCTTCTCTAGTTATGAAGTATATACAAGTACTAAGTCACCTGTGGACACACCTTGCCCCTTACCTACAGGCAGGGCCTGTCCGGTACCCACTGCTGTGCGAAACATACCATCTTATCTACGTGCTGATTGAAATGCCTTCAGAAACCTAAGATGCTGAGCTGTAGTGTGGTTGGTGTGTGGTTATCCCAGTGAGGCTGCTCACTTTCCCTGGCTCAAGTTCTTGACCCAGAGCGGCACCTATTACTACATCACCTATGACTGCTGTGTTCTTAAGGCATCAAAGGGGTGTGTGTGTGTGTGTGTGTGTGTGTGTAGGACAATACGCTAGGTTTGGTGTAAATCTGTTACCTCTTGTCAACACACCTTGTGTGTCCCAAGGGGCAGGGTGGGAGCTGTGTTTCTGAGAGGACTAGAAAGGCTTCCTAAGGCTGGCAGCTTCTCTCAGGATGCGGAGTTTGAAAACCCTGGGTGAACACTTAAGAAATCACGGGGCTAAGAAGCTATAGCGGAACTAAGCACGGACTCTCTCGTCTATGAGTCACGCCCCAAGGGGTACAGCTTTATGCAGAGTGTCATCTTTGTCGCTCAGTGCCTCACTGACGTCGTTTAGCAGCGCAGAAACAGTGACACAGTAGCCCAGAGGTGAAGTGCTCCAGCACTGTAACATGAACACCGCCCATCGCCCCATCAGCCCCGAGGTGTGTGACAGTGAGCAGAATGTGTACAGGTCGGGGGCCGGGTGTGGTGTTTCCCTCCTTTACCTGGTCCTTTAGTTCCGACAGCTGGCCAGAAAGGTTGGTGACCAGCTTCATGGTGGATTCCAGCTTCTCCTGCAGGTTCCTCAGCTCGTTCTGTTCCCCTTCAGAATCGCTGCTGACCAGGGACATGGCTCTCATCCTGGGGAACCAATCGAGGTTCCTTTCCTAGGATCCACATTGGAAAA